ACGTCAGCATATCATGATTCTGCTTTATAGATATATATAGATTCGTAGGGTTGAGATGACGTGAAAGTAATGGTTTTTCATGAGACTCGTAAGACTAATTTATGTTCATTGATCAACTTTATAAGCTAATGATCTAAAGTTGCATTATGGCAATTTTGTGATTATCGAAAAGTCTCGTGGCGTTTATAAATGTTCAGATTGTAGATCTAATCCAAGGGTTGAGAATTGGTCTTACGGGTCTCACGAAAAACCTTTGATTTCACATGATCCCAAGTCTAAAGTCGTAAACCTAACCGTCTTTAATTTGGATTCACTTGAGATCAGTCTGTTTTTGTGAGACCTGTGAGATCATTTTTTAACACTTGAAAGTTCACAGCAAAACATTGTGAAGATAAAAAAAAATTGAACCTTCACAGCGTTTTGCTGTGAATTTCAAGTGTAAAAAAATGGTCTCAAAAAAACARGTTAGTCTTACGTGATCTCAAGTCTATTATAACAAATTGAATTATATCTTCGATTACAACATATTAGAACCATTTATCTACGGATATACTTCATCCAACATTGTATTTCYATCAAAACAAAACGATTAATTTTAGTAGCAAAATCGGAATATCGTCAAAATAGGAGCGAATCTCATAAATTAGTTATAATTTTTGTTTTGAAGACAAAAATTTAGGGATATTACATGAAAAAGTAATGTAGTTTTAACTTGATTCCTGTTTTAGATAACGTATTTTCGAAACTTTTATTTTGGCATCTAAGATGTAAAGTTTTAAACATCTAAGTATTCGGGTAAACAGTTGAATCATTAACCAATTACCATGCTTATGTAGCGAGTGTTGTGATATCCAACTCAGTATTATTTGCTATTCAACCCAATTTCATCTCATCACTCGCCATATCWGCATGGTAACTGGTTAATGCTTTAACCAGTTACTCAGGTATTTAAATATTTAAAATTTTACATCTTAGATGCCAAAATAGAAGTTTCGAAAATACGTTATCTAAAATAGGAATCGAGTTAAAACTACATTATTTTTTCATACAACTTTTTCCAAAAATTTAAGCATTTTAATTAAACACGTGTATGATGACAATAACTTGAAAACACCACCATTGTTTTCTTCATCATCAATTGCCTTTAAATGGCAACTTGTGAATGTGATAAGAATCTAGGTTTTTCAACCTTATATTCTTTTTTTTATTAATGTTTTTATTATTTTATTATTTTTTAAATCATTTTATATTATATTTTAATAAATCTATAGAGTATATAAGTTAAAATTGATATAAAAAGTATAAATTAATAATTATAAAATATATTTATTAATTTTGTTTTGCTTTTTCCTACATTCCATAATGTATCGTCAAATTTTTTTCAAAGTGTTAGTCAATCTTCAATTTTTATTCCTCATCTTCGGTATTGAAATTAATGAGGTGGGGGCACGTTGGATGGGACTTGGAGGAGGGAAGCATACGGTCATATGGGACTATGGGGAAACCATGTAAGACGATGGTGAAAATAGAAAATTTAAGTTAGTCAACAAATGTTTWTGATTTTTGACTGGGGCGTTTCCTCTGGTGCTTAATGACTGGATCCGCCCCTGCTTAAAAGTTTATTCGATAATATATAAGAGACAAAACTTCAACTTAACATCACTGGTTACAAGGAGTTGCTACAACAAGGGTAGGACATTTCTTACGAGCAGTAAKACCACTCGTCTCAYTCATRTCCACACACTCTCCTTCAACCAAGGCCAAATCAAACTTATACACCAAATTAGCCAAAACAAGCTCGTTAATAACCATGGCAAACTGAATGGCGGGACACCCTCTTCGTCCGGCACCAAATGGTATGAAGTTGAAATGAAACCCTTGGTAATCGATAGGACTATTCAAGAACCTCTCTGGMTTAAACACATTYGGTTCCATCCATGTTGAACTATCTCTTGCTATTGACCAAGCGTTGATCAACACTTGTGTGCCTGCTGCTATGTCGTAGCCGAGTAGTTTGACGTCTCGTGTTGATTCATGAGGAACAAGCAACGGGATAGGAGTATGTAGCCGTAGGGTTTCTTTGAGAATGGCTCTTAGGTAGGCCATTTTGTCTAAGTCGTCTTCGGTTATCATTGTTCTTCCTTGGCCTATTTCCCTTGCCTCTTGTTGCAGTTTTTTCATTGCTTGTRGGTGTCTTAATAGCTCACTGATTGCCCACTCTAGGTTTGTGGATGTAGTATCAGTTCCACCAGAAAATACATCCTGCAAGAAATAAAGAACAAAAAGTAGATCCATTTAATTCAAGAAACCCATTACTGAAATCTAAAATTCACCTCTAAAATCTTGTTTACTGCAAATAGTGTGTAATTGTAACTACAGAAAAATGTTACCATGATAATAGCTTTGATTTCATCTCTTTCAAGATGAAAACCTATTGTGTCCTTTTTTTCAAATTCTAACAAGATATCAACAATATCTTGGCCTTCAACATCAACCACTTTCTTGTTTACATGTTCTTCGAAGACATCCTCAAGAAATTCATCGAATTCTTTAAYAACATCATCAGCTCTTCGCTCTAATCCACTCAAACGATCCACCCACATTAACGATGGAATATAACTTCCGACACTAAAACTTCCTAGTAACTCCAAAAACCTTGCTAACAAGTCYTTAAACTTTGTCCCATCATATGTCCTCCCAAAAGCCACCCTACAGAGGACATTATTTGTAAGAGAAATAAGCAGCTCACTCAAATTAACCACTGATCCATGGGTTTCTTGAATCGTTTTAATCAAAAGAGACGTCTCTTCCTTCCGTACATGCCTGTATGATTGAACCCTTTTGTTGCTTAAAAGATGTAGCACTGCGATACTCTTCGCTTGCCTCCAATACTCTCCATATGGGGCAAAWGCTATGTCCTTAGAACCATAAGTTACTCTACTAGGGATGTTYAATTTTGGCCTGTTTGAAAAGATTAAATCATGGGTTTTCATAATCTCTCGAGCTGCAACAGCAGAGGAGGCTATAAGTACCGGCATAGTGCCGAGGCGAATCAACATAAGTTGACCGTAGGTTTGTGCCATGGCGTGGAGTGCACGGTGTGGGCTCGAGCCAAGTTGATGCAGGTTTCCTATTAGTGGTAAACTTGGTGGAGATGGTGGTAGATTTTTGTGAGGGTTTGAACAAGATAAAAGTGATTTGTAGAGAAGTATGAGCAAAATGGAAAAGGAAATAGAAGAGAGAAGCAAAAACTGAAAGGTGAGAGACATTTTCTTGATGTTGGTATCAAAGCTTGAAAGAAACAATCAAATGCTACTTATGGTGTAGATAATATGAAACTCCACACCTTTGTTTTGCTTAATTTAACAAAAAACGGTTTGACAACTTTAAGAGTCGTAGAATTTTGTACACATAAATATAAAGTGATAACATATGACACTGTATGCTATAATCAACGTTCTTCAGATCGTGATCTTTTCTTCTCCAATAATCGTCTATCAGTACCTCACACTGTATGCCTCCACTTTTTATTGTGATAAGACTTTGAAAACGACACAATTATTTTGTATATAGTCTTCGTTAGTTGTCTTTAAATTGATTATAATTTTTATTTTAGAAGGCAAAATTTCTTTAATTTTTTATTTTGTAATAAGGGTTTTGAATACCTCTAAAAATTAATTTAATAATTAAAAAAGCAAAGAAAATGATAAGTGGACCTACAAACTATTTGCATCAATTATCACAACATAGGTACCAAAGGTTCTTTGGTTGGTTTAACGATATGTAAGTCATTGATCTTCTAAAAGGTCAAGAGTTCAAACCTTATTAAATGTGAAAAGAGTGTGTGAGTTTATTTGTTATATTTGTCGTACATAAATATTATATACTTCAAAAAAATAGCACAACATAGTTACTGTAAAACTAATTATAGATGTAAATTACAGTACAAAACATTAAGAAATTAGGCAAACTAGATTTGGTCAGTTGATTTATTGATGAGTTGCAGAATATACCTGTAGAAAGCCTGCTTATTTATTTAAAAGAAGATTGTAAAATCAACTCGTTATGATTTCAGATTGTGACCTTATCTTCTCCAACAGCCGTCTATCATTGCTCCACACCTTTGTTTTGCTTAATTTAATAAAAAATGTTTGACAACTTTAAGAGTCGTAGAAATTTGTACACATAAATATAAAGTGATAACATATGACACTGTATGCTAAAAGCTACGTTCTTTGGATCGGGATCTTATCTTCTCCAATAGTCGTCTATCAGGACCCCACACTAGAGATGACCAAATTGGCCCGGCCCGGCCCGGGACCACCGGAGGACCGGGACCAGGACCGACAAAGGACCGGCCCGGGATCGGGACCGGTAAGGACCAGTTATGGGACCGAAAACCGGGACCGGTTGAGGTTTTTGGTAGTTTCGTGGGACCGGGACCGGTTATGGGACCGACTAGGGACCGGACCGGCCCGGCCTGAAAATTCAAATAATTTTATAAATAAATGTATTTTTAAATAATTTTATAATGTATTTTTATAAGAAAACGTAATTTTAATTATATTAAAACGCATTTTTAATGTATATTTGAGTGACCCAATTGTAAATTTTATAATATATTAAAAATATATATCATTAAAAAAATAAAAATAAAATATCTTATTTTTTTAATGCAAGGACCAGTTGGGACCGGTTGGGACCGGGAAAGGGACCGGCGGCCCATAACCGGTTATGAAGTACCTTGACCGGTCCTATCATTTTCGAACGGGACCGGGATCGAGACCGGGACCAATTATGAGAATGGTGAGAACCGATTAGGACCGGGCCGGGACCGGTTTTTGACCATCTCTACCCCACACTCTATGCCTCCACCTTTTATTGTGATAAGACTTTGAAAACGACACAATTATTTTGTATATAGTCTTCGTTAGTTGTCTTTAAATTGGCATGTGGCTTGTACAACAACTTGTGGATG